ATGTGACCGTAGGTAAAATATTCTCTTCATATGTGATAATTTTATCTGTAGTAAATCTTTTTTTAAGTTGATCCAAAAGTCTCCTTAATACCCCATATTTTGTGTTTATTTGATATAGCATATTGCTTTCTTTGTTTATGAATATGCCTTTGTCCCATTTGTTTACACCAAACATTTTGTACCAATTTTTTTTCCGATATCCATTCCATAGTTCTGTTTTTTGGTATAGTCGTGAGTAAAATATTATCTTTGTCTTTTTTATATTTAAAAAATCCCATTTGGTCCGCATGTCATGGTTAAACATTAGTTTCCTTAGAGGAATACTTGCCGTGTTGTTAGGTGTATTTCTGTAATTGAAAAAATCTTATAAGAGCGATATCTAAGTCTATATTACTTTGCTCCATGCACTTTTTCATTAGCGTTTTGAAAGTTCTAACCATCCTTTTGACTTGCCCATTGGACTGCTGATGGTGGGATGAAGTCAGATAGTAATGTAAATCGTGGTCTCCACAGATTCTTTAAACAGTTGACTTGAAAAATTTGAGCCATTGTCCGTTCTGGAATGCCAAATAAGCTTATCGTTTTCATTAAACTAGTATCTGCTATAAAATGGCCTAGCATAATTAACGTGTATTCTTTCGAACGGTATCGTCGTTGATGCTGTGTGTTAACTTGAATATCTGCTCAAATATTACAAGATTTGCATTCTTTTATTTGATTATCGATGTCATTAATAATTCCAGGCCACCATAGCATAGGTATTCTTTTGCTAAATATTTGGCTTTGCTAGCACCCAAATGTCCTTCGTGCAAATGTTGTAGCATGACTTTGTTAAATCTTTCTGTAATGATCTTTCTTTAAATAGACAATTTCCAATAATACACAATTCTGTCATTATCATATTATTATATATTTTATTTTTTTATATTATCACCGTTTCTAATATCGTTTTTTATTTCCATCAATTCTCTATCATTAGAAGTTTCTTTTGCGATTATTTTGAAGTTAACTAGTAAGACCCATAAGTCATTATTTTCATTTAAATCATCTATGATATTTATTTCTTCTTCTGTAGGTGTTAATGTATATCTTGATAAACAATCTAGTACAATGTTGTGTTTACCTGCTCTATGTCTTATTTCGAAGTCGTTTTTTAATGTTCCATTTATGCAATCACATCAACATAGATGACATAAACCTTTGGAAAAAATGTGGATCAAAGGCTTATGATAAGTGATAATTATAAATTTTGTTCCGATTAGGAACCACTGGAATCCTTTCATATTAAAAATGATTGCTTAGCATCGCTTTGGTTGCTGGTGTAGTTTCTTTCAGATTTTAATAAGGATCTTGAGACAAAAGCTATCGTCTTAGAAAAAAGAAATAATTAACACGAAACTCATCTTTGTGTTTTAATAAAATTTTAATTTTCAAACGATAGTCGCTCCACTATGTAACAAGTGACGAACAGCAATAATTTTAGAATATAGAAATCTCTGAAAGTTTACAATTAAAAAAATAAAACAAATTTTAAGATATATAACAAAATGATTAGTTAATTTGAATAAATTAATATAAAATTATTTAAAAAATAAAGTGAGATAGCTAAAACAAAAAAATACATTTAGCTCGAAGGTTGTATAAAATGAATTTAAGTTTAGATGTTTTTTTATTTACAAATTCAATTTAAATCAACAGGAAATATTTCAAAATGGCGCTACAGCTTACTCCTATGAATGAACATTTTAAAATAAATTTAACAAATGAATTGCCAATATAGTAGTATATGTACATTATTGAATTAACCAATTTAAAAATTGCACCTATTATAAATAGCTTCTCTATCAATTTTATATGTAGTTGATTGACACACGCAATTCCTTATTTATTAAATGCTTACCTTTTCATGAACGGTCTCATGCCATCTCAAAATAAACGTTTCCCTAACTTTCATATAAAAACCTTTCATATAAAAAATTGCGACTGAGAATAATTGCGACTTTTTTTATGATTGGTTGTGATAATTGCGACTTTATACCCATTGGTTATAAAAAATTAAACGTATTTATAATATATATTTGAAAAATCGTGATTTTTGGAAAGCCTCTATGGCCTAGTAGACAAGAGATTGGCTCCCGTTACTGGTTAACGGTGCATATATGCACCACCTCCTATATACCTTATTTTAACATAGTAGTTTTTATTTTAAAAAATAATAAAAAAGATTTTTATATAGTTCAGACATTGTACTTCAAAACTGGAAAAGAAAAATATGAAAAAAATATTTTTTTATGTCCCTAAGAAACCCTCAAACTTTGTGAATTTATGAGGTCTAAAATGCAAAATTTTCTAAGTGATCTCACAAGCATATTATAAAATTATTTCGATGAAAACTAGTGTGTATATATTCTTTATAGATATATCAATATTTATCAATCATTTTTGAATTTTTAAATAAATAAAATTTTAATAGATAACCACATAAAGTTGACTGGTGCATATATGCACCGTTAACCATCTAGCAGTATAAATTATTTAAAAAAATTCAAACAAATGAAATTTAACATAATGAATTATAATTTTTTATATTATACTTAAAACCACTACCGTCACTAAGGGTGGTGGGAGGAGGGGTGGGTGGCTCGAGCCCCCTAAGAATTTTTTTAAAAAAATTTTATACCCAAAAAAAGACCTTTTGAAAATAATTAAAAAAAAATTTTTAACCCCCTGAGATTAAATCGAATAATATATTGTTCCTATTATAATTTTTTATCCCGATCAAATTATATGAAATTAGGTTCATAAATATTCAAAAGTTTAAAATTATGCCTCTTTCTTTCTGAAGATTTTATTTTATTTATATAAAATATTATGCACCTGTTTTGTCAATTCAATCAAAATTATCAAAATAATAGATGACTAATAAAAAAATCAAGATTCTACGAAAATAATTTGTCTAGATATTTAATTTTTAATAAATTTTTTTAATGAAACGTTTTCTAACAATTGAACAAGCGCTTGCTCAACTTTTTGAAGAGGAACCAATTGAAGAAAGAGATATGGTTATAATTCCGCCAAACCCCTCTGCAGTTAGTGATGAAGAAGATTTCGATGATAATGACTTAACAAATGTCGGAGTTTTGCCTTCAGATACAGCTGGAGAATTGGAGATTCATAATTCAGTTGATGACGACCTTCCAGAACCATATTCTACAAGAAGCTACTCTCGAATTTCTCACAATTTAAAATGGAGAAAAACGGATGCAATATATTCTTCAAGCCCTTTCAATGGAGAAAAGGAAGATGTAATAAAACTTGAAAATGATTTACATGGTAAAAGTCCATCAGATATATTTTCTTTAATTTTCGAGAAGACTTATATTCCCTAATTGTAGAACAAAGTAATATTTATGCTAAACATATGAATAGACCTAACATATGCATAACCATCCAAGATATTCAGAGATTTATTGGAATTCTATTATTTACTGGATATCATTCTCTCCCACAAGAAAGAATGTACTGGTCTAATGATAGCGATATTTCTATTCCAATAATCCGGGATACAATGTGACCCAATTACAATTTTGAAATATAATATCCATTTGGCAGACAATACTAAAATAGATATACATGATAGATTTTATAAAGTTAGGCCTTATATTAATATATTTAATAATAAATTTCAGCAATTTGGAATTTTCAAACATCATTTATCAATAGATGAACAGATGATACCATATGGAGGAAGACATTCTTGCAAAATGTTCATAAAAGGAAAACCAATTAGATTTGGATACAAGTCTTGGATATTGGCTTCTTCCGACGGTTACGTATTCTCATTTGATATATATCAAGGAAAAAGCGAAAATAAATATGAATATGGATTAGGTGGAAATGTAATCATAAAATTATTAAAGGCATTGCAAAAACCAAATTATCATAAAATATATTTTGATAATTTCTTTACATCATTTAAACTCTTGTCATACTTAAAACAAATGAGATATTTTGCAACTGGAACTGTGAGGGACAATAGAATAGAGCATTGCCCAGTTGAATCTATAAAGGTTGTAGCAAAAAAAGATAGAGGATATTATGATTATAGGTTTGAAAAATTAAACGAAATATTTGTAGTTCGTTGGAATGATAATTCGGTGGTGACCGTTGCATCGACATGCCACATTATCTCTTTGCTTTCTAATGTTTCAAGGTATTCTAAGAAAATATCTTTTAAAATAAAAATTCCTCAGCCAAATATGGTAACTGCTTATAACAAACACATGGGTGGGGTTGATCTATGTGATAATCTAATATCTACATATAGAATAAAAATAAGAGGAAAAAAATGGTGGTGGCCAATATTTACCAATTTTATTGATGTAGCTTTGGTAAATTCATGGAAAATCTGGAAATTCGTGAATCGAGATGACAAGAAGAGTTTGCTTGCATTTAGACGAGAAGTTACTAACTACCTCCTTCGAACGCCAGTAAAAATTGAAAAAAATTCAAGTACAGGTCACGCCAGCCAGTTTGCATTACAGTGTGAAAACCCTATTGATTCATCTGGACATTATTTATCCAAAATTATAGATGGAAAAAGACGAAGATGCAGATATTGCCATACGCACTCAAGATATATGTGTCAAACATGTCAAATCATACTCCATATTAAATGTTTTATAAACATTTTCTCGTTTTTATTATAAATTACAAAAAAAGAATAAAGATATTTGTTGTTTTTTGATCTTATAGTATTTATATAATTTTTATCTTTTTTAACCTCTTAATGGTTAACGGTGCATATATGCACCAGGCTAGATTTTCTATTTAGGATTATTTTTTTTGGCTGATTTTTTTAGAATATCATATTTGAGCATTAATCAATATAATTTGAAAAAATTGAGCATTTTAACCACTAGAAAAATCATCTTGACTATTAATGGGGTAATATATTAAATAATAAGAGTTTTATTACATTTTAATATTTTGGTCGGTATTTAGCAAATTGGGTTGGTATTTAGAATATTTCCATACATTCACTCATATACCATATAAAGTCGCAATTTGAAAGTTATACCAACCCAAAATAAAATGGTAAAATAATTTTTTTTATAATTTTATTTTTTTTAATTTAGGTTATTATTGCAAACGGATTTACTAAAAATGCATTAAGTACGTTCCCAAACGTTACTATCTGGAATTTAGATACAGGGCTGAAAACATTATCGCTTAAAATTCCCGCTTTTGCTCAAGATTTAAAAACTAATAAAATTATAAATTCAAAATTTTTATCATTTGATGCTGTCGGGCATGACTATATCATTTCATCTTGGAGTAACAAAACATTCTTAAACATCTATAATTTGAAAAATAATTATGTATTAAATAATGTTTTGGCGTTTTAATTTGTTTTTCTTTTATTAGAATTTGCATTGTAAATTTAAAACTGATAATATAATTTCAATTGTTAAAGTGTCCTATGACAAATTATATTTAGCCTTAGCTACAAAAAATATTTTTCAAATATGGAAAGTATATATATAAGATTAATTTCAAATGATTATTTATATCTAGTTGAATACAGGCCAAATGTTATGTAATGTGGATTATCATTATCAAGATATAACATGCATAGAATTTACACACGATTCTTCTTATGTAATAACAGGGGGGATGGATAACCTAGTCTATGTTTGGTCTTTATCAAAGTAAATATAACATTATCATGTATATTTTAATATGTTTTAGATTAGCAAAACAAGCTCTACCTATGTCAATTGGGGAAGTTGAACCAATATATATATGGAATCAACATTCTTTACCTATAACTGATATATATGTAAGTAAAACAGGACTTAATTGGAAATCTAGAATCTACACTATATCATTGGACCACACATGCAAGGTTTATCCTGCTGTTTTAATAAAAAGATCTTTTTTTAATACTAATATATTTGTTATATTAGGCTAGATTTTTTTTATGTAGTGTTAAATGGCTCAATTTTTAAAAATGGCTAACCCAATATTTAAAAAAATATTATCGAACTGAGATTTCTTTAATAAATGTCTAAACCTTTCGGGCATCATGAAATCTCTAGGCTTATGTGATTATTTTTGGCTAAAATATTGGGTTAGCCATTTTTTAAAATCAAACTGTTAACATTAATCATTTTCAAAGCAGATTAATTAAAAGGTACATCTAATCTATATATTAGACACAAAATGAGGAGGTTAAATCTATTTATTATCTAAGGTTCAGGGGAACCAGATTTGATCTACTAAATAACTAGATTTCATTTCCTTTATAAACTTGATCTGAATGGACTGCATCAAACCAAATTCTTCAAGCCTTGTCAGGCTCAAAAATTTTTCCAGTCCTATCCTGAGTGATTTTTTTTATTTGCCCCTAAAAGCCCATTCCAAAGTCAAAATTATTTGTTTATCTGGCCCAAATTTATTTAAATATGGAATATTATATTTTGTTTTTTTACTAATTACCTTCAGTTTTATGTTTTGAGTTTTTGATCTTTTAATAAATATATCTTAAAATTTTACTCTTACCTCAATGGGGCACACATTTATATAATCAATTCTTTATATATTTAAAAAAAAATAAAATTCTCTCTATAATATTAATTTTTTCAACTTTTATGTTAAATAATATATTTTATTAATTAATTTAATAAGGGCTGCACCAATCCAATATTTTTTCACTGGTGCGAATAATAAAAATATATTTATAAATTTTTTGAAGTATTTTAGTCAGAATATTCGCATATCCCCACTCTTAAAAATCAAAAAAGGTCTCAAAGTTTTAAAATTCTAAAATATGTCTTATTTTTAAAATTGTAGAAAGGTTTTATACTTTTAAATGACATATAGTAAATAATGTCTTATTTTATAAGTCATAACACTTAAGGATTAATTATAAATATAATTTCTTATTATATTTTTTAAAATTATGATCAGAATTAACATATCTATTTTAGCCTTTCCACGTCAAATCGACCAAAAAAAACGCGATTTTCGGACGACCATCTTTAAAATAAACGAAACTTGGCATGATAGTTATTTATTTTGTATATATTTGTAAATTCTAAATTTTAGAGTGCTAGCTCAACCAAATCCAAAGATATACGCCTTCAAAGTAGAGAATCGCATAATGCTTGATTTCTTAAATCTTGTTTTTCTTAATTTATACTTAAGATAAAATTACAAATAATATATCATTTATAGCCCTTAAAATTGTACATTGGAAAATATTAAAAAAAATAAAAAAATTTAAATGTTTTTGTATTTCCGGTAAAAATAAAAAATTAACATTCCTGGGAAGGGATATTTTTTTGGTGTTGAACTCTCTAAAAATGTTTATTACCTTTATATTAAACTATTTAATGAAAAATCTCGATAGCCATTTTTGTTTTTTTAATTTTATTAAAATTTTTATTTTTATAAATAAAAAAGGATAATATAGATGGCGTTATATTAATTTTAATAAAAATATATTTAATTTTTTAAAAATATGTTTTATATCGGTATTAAAATCAAAAAAAATCGATTAAATATAACCAGTATGATGTCTTGGGGCAATAAATAAGGAAGCGGCCCATACGGATATGGTTATTAGGACGCTATATTTTAAAATAAACATATAAAATTTCATATACAAACAATTATAAAATAAAATACCTCTTGTTTTAATCTTATCCCATTTTGCACTTATTAATAGAATTTCCTGAAGCGATAATTTATAGGTACGTCCTGTCACTGTTATAGGATCTACTATCGTTATTATTTGATTCATGGGCAACCATATCTTTCCCTCAATTTGAGATAAAAGAAGGATGGTGATGGTCCATGGGGATGTAAAAAGGAAATATATATCTCTTCAGTATTTTCATTCTTTTTCAGTACTGTGGCTAACCACCAAAAATCGTCATAAACACATGTTACAAATCCTTTAATAGCAGCAAAACACAAATTATCGGCAAAAGACAAATCGGCATTTGAGATATTATTAATTTGAAAGTCCTTTGCATATTAATATATTTTTGATTTAAGTTTACTTAAACTCAAAGGAAAAACAGCATGTATTTCCCGAGTTCATGGGACGAGCTAAATTGAATCTTTCTCGTAGTTTAATCTCTTCTAAATTGTATTGTTCGTTGGTTATATACGTAAAATTTACTGATGGCATATTTTGTTTTGCAAACTGATATAAATCAACTGGTGTTAAAATGTGTCCAGAACTGGTGCGCTGAAGGCTTGAACGTGCTGCTAATCTTTTTAATGTTCCGCCAAGGCCGTTACATGGACCTTCATCAGCTGCTACACCAAAATCTGATTCACGATAACACAGATTTATGAAATTTTTTCTGTTTTTATATTGAGCAGCCGATCCGTCAGAGCAGTAATAGATTTTACATGGCTTTTTGTTAAAATGATTGGTCAAAAATTTTATCATTTCAGTCTGGTATAAATGTACTGCAATAACATCATTTGAAGTGACTCTGATATTACCACATAATTAAGGTTTTCTATATTGTTATTATTATTATAATATGCTATCATAGGATGGATAGTGGCCTGATTATTCAAGTGAAATCCTTGAACAGCGTCTTGGATTACGAAGGCATAATTTTCAGAGAAATCACAAATTATCATAAATTCATTTTGTTGTAAAAAATGTTTAAGTTTTGAAATATATGATGACTGATTGGTAGCGATAAAGGAATGACGTAACATAGGTTTTTTTTCTAAAAAAAAAATTAAAAATTCTTGAGAAGATTTTATTATTGTTTCCAGATTACTTCTATCAACAAACACCCACTGTTTAAAGTATATATGATCTATGTCATTTTGGGCAAATACAACATCTAATTGTTTTTTAATTGAGAATGTGCCTGGACAATAGTTACAATCTCCTAAATAACAAATAGGGAGTGCTGGATTGCATATTGTTGAGCTAAAATATTTTTATAGTTATGTAATAGATATTCTGGAATAGCTAATAGTTTTGCCAAATTAGCATCTACAAACATAAGCTTAAAATTTTGATGAATTACACAAACACACACACTGTGTGTTCCACTGGCTCCAGCCAGAATACAATTTTTTGGCCGTAAATCTGCAAATTTAGAAAATCCAACTTTAATTATCGGGTACCTCTCTTTAAATCGTTCATATAATTCTTTTAATTGTTTAAAATTAATCTTTTTTGAGACTGCTCTCTTTTCCCCATAATTATGGATTTATAGTCTTTTTTTCTTGGGCATCGCGCGACTGACTTCATCAGAAGAGTAAAATTTTTCTATAATATTCACGGTGATCAATTGTTCGCCCAGGTTTTATATTGGGAGATGACATAAATCCTTTTATCTATTAGTTTTTTTGATTTTCTTACCAAGTAATTCGTGGCTTTGAACTCCATCTCAATTTTTTTTAGAGGTCCAAGAAGGGGGCAATATAGTAAGAAGTTGATATTTTTTTTCCTTAGAAATAATTGGATAATGATGTTTTAAATTTCAAAGAAGTTCGTCATTTTTATTATTTTGTATATCAAACTCAGGAAGGCTGCTTCTTAATATGTTTTGACTTAATGCTTTTGTTATTTTTTTAAGTTTTTCTTTCGGATATTTCTTTTCTCCTATTCTTTTTTATTGGAGATTGGCCTATTTCTTCTAGCGATACATTTATTATATCCAAAGTTGAACTTTATGGGGCTAGTTCGGGCTCTTCATTTTCAGATATATCCTCAATGGATTCCATATTTATCAAATATAAGCGACATGAGTGACATAATGATTGGCCTATTGTTAATAAACCTTTGGATTTTTTAATCATCTTTGGTGTAACCTAATTTTATATATAATAAAAATAATCACGATATCCAATAATAAAAAAGATATTATATTAGTAAAAAATCCAGAATCTAAAATTAAAAAGGTTTTAATCCATAATATAAATAAACTTACCTTTTGTAGATTTTTTGAAATAGACTTATGGCCTTCTCTAATGAATGGATTACTACAGAGTGATTTCTTTCATATAATTTTTTAAATTTAAAAAATTTAATCCTTATGTTCTTTTCAATCATGATTGATAATTAAATTTCCTATTTATCGATATAAAAATTTAATAGAAAGAAAGGAATGAAAAATAAAATAAGATGATAAAATCTTTAATTTCAATAATAACGATAGTAGATCCAGAAGTGTGAAATATATACAAATTACGGCCTCAAGAATTTCTATTTAAGCGCAAAATGGATTGCGATAAATAGATATATTTTTATAATAGCTTGAATATAATTTTAAAGTATATTTATATGGGCCGCTTCCTCATTTATTGCCCCAGGACATCATACTGGTTATACTTAATCGATTTCTTTTGATTTTAATACCGATATAAAATATATTATTATTAAATATAATATATTATTAATAAATTTAGTATAACGCCATCTATATTATCCTTTTTTATTTACAAAAATAATAAAAATTTTAATAAAATTAAAAAAACAAAAGTGGCTATCGAGATTTTTCATTAAATAGTTTAATATAAAGGTAATAAACATTTTTAGAGAGTATCAACACCAAAAAAAAATCCCTTCCCAGGAATGTTAATTTTTTATTTTTACCGGAAATACAAAAAAATTTTTAAACTTTTTTCCAATATTTTCCAATGTAAAATTTTAAGGGCTATAAAGTGATATATTATTTGTAAGTATTTTTTAAGAAAAACAAGATATAAGAAATCACGCATTACGCGATTCTCTACTTTGAAGGCGTATATCTTTGGATCTGGTTGAGCTGGGGCTCTAAAATTTGGATTTTATTAACATTTACAACATAAATAACTAACATGCCAAGTTTCATTCATTTTTGAGATGGTCGGCCGAATCAC